GGCATAAATAGACTATCAAGCATAACCCAAAATGCACAAACAGCAGAAGAGAAACTATGTGAATAGGACCTTCTAAAAATTAAAATTTTATGTGCTTCCTAAGACTTCTACAAAAGAGTCAAAAGAGAACCTACAGATTGGGAAAAAATATTTGGCAATGATGTATCTGACAAGGGACTTATCTCTAGAATTTATAGTAAACTTCAACACCTCAATAACAAAAAGACAAACAATCCAATTAAAAAATGGGCAGAAGACATGAATAGACACTTCACCAAGAACGATATTCAGGCATCCAACAAACATGAAGAAATGCTCACGATCATTAGCCATTAGAGAGAAGCAAATCAAAACAACAATGAGATACCGTCTTGTCCCAGCACTAGTAGCAAAGTTCAACAAGATAGAAAATAACAAATGCTGGTGAGGATGTGGAGAGATTGGGACTCTCATACAGTACTGGTGGGACTGTCAAATGGTACAACCACTGTGGAAAGCAGTATGGTGATTCCTTCAAAAGTTGGAATTAGAAATACTATTTGACCCACCCATATCATTACTAGGTATATATCCTAAAGAGTGAGAGCTATGACAACAACAGACATATGCACACCCATGTTCATTGCAGCACTATTTACAATAGCTAAAACATGGAAACAATCTAGGTGTCTATCAGCTGAGGAATGGATAACCAAAGTATGGTACATACGATGGAATACTATGCAACCCTAAAGAATAACCTAGAATCTGCAAAACACCGCATAACATGAATGAACTTGGAGGACATTATGCTGAGTGAAATAAGTGAATCACAGAAGGACAAATATTATATTAGTCTGTTATTGTAAAAGCCAAGGAAAGGTTTATCTATGGAAGGAAATTTTCTTTGTTGGTTACCAGAGGTGGAAGTGGAGTATAGGGAACACTGTTAGATAGGCAGAGATAAATATTGATCTGGGTGAAGAGAAGGGCATTGTACCAAATGTAAGTGATCAACATGGTGGCATTAAGGAAGAGCAAGACACAGAGAGGTACATGAGAAGTACAGGCAACAAAGATGAACCCTTTTGCACATAAAGTACTGCATTGTCAGTGAAGGCAAACATGGCTATACGGGTAGATAGATGGGTGGACAGGCTGAGCTATTAGGTATGTCTATGAAGTGAGGAGTGTACCCAAGACCATGTATAGTGTTGGCAGACAGTGGTCCTATAAGTGTATTTGTATTTTCTATGACAATTCCCAGGTGTATAGTGGAGCTGACAAGGGCTAAGGTTGTAGTCACTTCTTGGTCACAGCCAGCTACCCAGAGGGACTGAGTAGTTGAACTGGTGGGCTCGGGACCATAGTCACAGGGGATATCAAGCTCAAATGGCCTAACATACTACACAATTTGCCAAATTGTGACTGGGATCTTAAAAGCTTGCTAGCAGCCACCTAGATGCAACAATGGGTCTCTCCTTGTCCAGAGCAAAGAAGAATGAAGAAAACCAAAGATTCATGGAACCAATTTGTCCTAGCAACTTGTATACCATGAGATTCGCAGCCTATACAACTCTGAGACCAGAAGAACTAGATGGTGCCCAGCTACCACTGTCAACTACTCAGTGGGGGATCTATGTAGGAGATCCTGGATAGAGAGGGAGAACAATGTGGAACAAAACTCAAAATCATTTGGGAAAATATATATAAAGAAAAAGGGGAGGGGGGGCGGGTTTGCTGGTCTGATAGAGCCTGGTGGAACCACTGAGACTATGGCTCCTAGCTGCCCTTCAGGTCTGGAATTAAACCCACACCTGTGGCTTCCAGCCAAACAAAAGACAGGCATATGAGTTGAACATTTACCTGAGGTAGATACACTCCTTGGAGAGAACAATCATGG